TGCTCAGCTCGGGCTGACTCGAACCGCTGTTGCTCAGAGCTCAAACTCTTGAGCGAGCTCTTAACCAACTGAGCCACTCAGCCGGCCCTTCTATTCTCATTTTGAAACAAATAAAGTGGATGTCATTTAGCATTGAATTCACTCATGATTCTTCATCTTCCATATTTAATTGGTATAGGTAAATTTTGAAATATCAACATCTACCTATCTATGTGTACATCAATGCTAACTTTATGATCCTATATTTAGGATCATATGTCTTTAGCATCTTTTAAATTTAATAACCCAGCTTTTAGTTTGCAATTTTCTCATATGTATACTTCTCAATTTCTCTTGTTTTCCATACTCCCTGTTATGACACAACCATATATGACTATCAGTGGTCTGTGGAGTATAAGTCTTGTAGAATAATTATTTGGACGTTAAAGAAACTTAAAGGTTCATTCAAACTCCCAGAGTAAACTTGAACTAAGAGATAGAGCCCTTCATCATCAGAGCTGTAATCTTTTGGATACTTACTGCTATGGAAACATACAGGCTTCTAGGTGCAGCTCTGGGGCTGCTCGATGGGAAAACCGGAACGTATTATAAACAGCAGCTTCAGCAACAGAACATATGAGGTCAAGTTCTAGCTCTGCCCCTGGTCTCTGGAACTGGGAGAACAGCATTTGAATTTATTCTGCCTTTTTTTCCTGTGCTGAATGTGGAGATAATTTCAAACACAAATATTAAAAAATACTCTCTGCCCTTCGGATGAGAACTCGATATTCTTTCAAAAGAATGGGGAAGAACACTCAAGGGATTGTGAGTTCCATGGATCTCTCTGTCTCACAATACCCATTCAGTATAAAAGAAGTTATTCTAACCACATAATTGCCTGAGGAAATTTTAGCTGATCAGCTCTGCCCTACCCTGATAGGAAGAAAGTTAAGTTAGTATTCACAATGCTGTGTTAACACGGGTGCTTGAATTCAGTAACATGGTTTTTAATTTTAAAAATTCTTTTTATTTTTAGTCGATCACAGAAAAAGATGCAGATGGTTTCAAATATCTCCTTTTTTGCCATGTTTGTCATGTACTTCTTGACTGCCATTTTTGGCTACTTGACATTCTACGGTAAGTAACTTCTGTCAGTACATAAATGTAGGTATTTGAAGTAAACAGTAAAAATCAATATCAAGATAACTTTTAGGATGATAGCCAAAAAAAGCAACAAATCTATCCATTGATTTTTCTGGTCTTCTCATCTACATAAAGCAAATGGCAATGGTTCCTTTACATTTTCATGCAGGCTGCACAATAGATTTCTGAAATGATATACTGTACGTTTTTTCCTAATACCATCCTTAAAAGAAATAGAATTTTATAAGCATACTATCTCTACTGAGGAAAGTTTAAAACTACATCAGAGAATTTCCTAGTTGCTGTTGGGCCAGACTCTATTAATAGAAAAGAGAGACAGAGACAGATGTTGGAAGTGAGTAAGAGCTGAGTGCCACACTCATGACACTCCGCGTTAATTAAAAATAAAATGCCTACTTGTTCACCAGACATTGGAGCCTTGCAAAGATGTGAAGGCATGACAAAGTTTAAAAGGAATGAAATCAGAGGTGCAATGAGAAGCCGTTGAGGGAAGACCCTGGGGAAAGGCATGATCTCTTAGCATCAAAGGAGTGAGCACAGTCCTGCTCCACGGCTGCCATTCTAGCTTTGGTTGTCTTTGAAATAACACTTTCTAAAGGTCAGAGATGAGAAAAAGTTCAGAGTGGTACAGAAGCTAAATATTTTTTTTTAATAAGTAAAACATACATGGAAGAGACAAATTATTACTTGATGGTGGCTAAGTTCCATTGGCACCTCTGCTCTTTGGCCATTGAAAGTTGAGTTGTAAGAGGAGAGTTTGAAAGAGACGCCAGATGGCCTGCCGTCCACCCAGCTACCCAGCAAGGCTGTAGCTATTATATTTGGTGCTGTTTGATGAGTGGCACCAAGTGGGGGAAATTCTAGATTTAGAAGGGCTTTGTGCTTCAACCTGTGTTATTTTTAATCCCAGTTTATTCCCAGGATTGAGTATAAATGAAGCATTCCCACTCTGTGTAGCTTCTCCTAGTGATGACTATAAGTTCCTTTTAGCTGCAGTTACAACTGACAGGTGGAGCATGTCTTGCCCAGGGGATTTTTTTCAACTCTATAAACTGTTTTAACTGACAGTTCAACACCCAGATCATCACTTTCCTTGCCCTTTAGTTTACAAATTCTTTGTTGTTCAGAACAACTGTCATCCAGGAATGTGCCTTGTTTCTTATTAATACACTCTTCTCCCTTGTTTTAGAAAACGTGCAATCAGACCTCCTTCACAAGTACCAGAGTAAAAATGACATTCTCATCCTGACAGTGCGACTGGCTGTCATTGTTGCTGTCATCCTCACAGTGCCGGTGTTGTTTTTCACGGTGAGTACAAGGCCTCAGCACAGTCGGAAAGAAATCTGGGGTCTCACTCAGCCTGTTGCAGGTAACTTTTTTGCATCATTGAAACTGCATCAAGGAAGGGCCCCTAGACTTGGCTAAGGTGCTTCAGAAAGACAGCGGGGGGCCGGCCGAATGGCTCAGTTGGTTAAGAGCTTGCTCAAGAGAAAGACAGCGGGATCGGTGAGATAGGGTAGCCGCTGATGGAATGAATCTTAATTCTAATCTGTCCCTCTTCTTTACAGAAATGCAGATAGAATGTTCAAATCTCGATCATACACAATGAGAAAATGTAGAAGGGAACAGTCAGTCAAAGATAAAACAAAAACAGAGATGATCCCCCCGCCATAAACAAGAACCTATTCATAAATAAAAAACACTTTCCATCTTAAGTCAAACCCCCTCCCCTGCTGCTTCCCAAACTGTTAAGCTGCCTATAAGTTCACTAGGTATTACAAAACATTTCACAAATCCCTGTGTACCAGTACGTCAGTTTCTACTGAGAGCTATGGATGCTGGTATGCCACAGGTCCTTACAGAATCTTTGTGTTTGATTTCCTGCAGGTTCGTTCATCTTTATTTGAACTGGCTAAGAAAACAAAGTTTAATTTATGCCGTCACATCTTTGTTACCATCATGCTCTTGGTTATTATCAACTTGTTGGTGATCTTCATACCCTCCATGAAAGATATTTTTGGAGTCGTAGGTATGGCTTCATGGCTTTACACTTATTCTACAACAGCTATTTAGGAAGCTAAAATTTCACAATAACAACTTCAAACCTGTTTCTTCTTATTTTACAGGAGTTACATCTGCTAATATGCTTATTTTCATTCTTCCTTCATCTCTTTATTTAAAAATCACAAACCAGGATGGAGATAAAGGAACTCAAAGAATTTGGGTATGTCTCATGCCAGCCACTCTAATTTTTCTGATTGGTTTTTCATTTAAATTTACCAAATAAATGGTCCATCTCTACCATCTAATATTAGTTTTCATGGCCTCAAAGGGAGGTGGCAGTCCTGTAGTTTTCCCCTTTGGAAGACTTAAAATATCTCATCCAAATCTCCTCTGTTCCCTCAGACTATCCTTTCAGGTGTTACTCATACTGTATCTGAGCTTTTCCTCTCAGCTAGGGCAGGGCTAGCTGAGAGATTGGAAGTTTATCATCCTGTCTCCATAAGGCGATACCTTGTCTTTAGCAAGAAAATGAAGTGGAGAGTGACTCAAAGATTTTATGCAGCCCACTGTTTCTGTATAATTCCTAGTCTTGTAACTCCCTCATACAGCTCAGGGTACATGCGATGCCTTAATAAAAATGGCTGAGTTAGCTTAAAGAGTCTTTTTATGATTTTACAGAAATGCTTTAGAGCAACAGACCTGGATTCAAAAACTACCTTTCTATATTGCGATTCTTGTTTCCAGGTCTGGGCATCTTCAAGGTGGCACATTGGGAGACAGTGAGGGAAGCAGTGGGGGCAGTGGCTGCTCTGTGAGTAGCTTCTGGAGCACTATTTTGTTTGATCTGGGAGAAGGCTTCTCAGCTGGCCTCCCCGAGGGTGTAAGCACTCCGATTGCACATATCACCTGAGTCAGCAAACCCGGATGAGAGATGTAAGCAGGAGGGATCATCCTTGTGCATTTAGGAGAAGCAGCATTGATGCTGGTAGAGCATCTACTTCCCCAACAGGATTACCCCTGAAGCCATAAATCCCAAACCCTTCTAAATCTTACCAGTAGTTGCTTCACAAGGACAGATAGGAAGGAGCAGTCACTCTGGCACAGCAGTAAGATATACTAAGATTAAACCTGAAAATGGTAGAGTCCAGTTGCCCCTGAATTCTCTGGGCTTGCCAAGCCCGCTCCCATAATGAAACCAGTAGTAGGAGCTTATGAATAGCATTAGACAAGGGCTCCTATCTGTGTGAGGAGCCACAGGGAGTTGGACCAGACCCATAATGGTAAGCCCATGTGCAAACCTCTCAGCTCCACTATTTTCCCCTCTCCTTCCCTTGGCTCTATCCTCCAGGCTCTCATGATGCTTCACCCTTCAGCCTGCTGAGCTCTCACTCGGTAATCATAAGGCCAAGCAGTATACAATCTTGTGTTCTCCAGATTCTGAATTTAATAATCTGTTTACCTGTGGCCTACATCAACCCTTGCATAACTTTTAGTTTTTGATACCCATTTCCTATCTCACTTGATCAAATCTACTTTGCTTTTATCTCTTTTTTCCACTTTTTCAAATAGAAATATTTGCCTGCCAGCGATAACCTGGGTTGGTTGGCCAAGATTAATGAAATGACCTGTATGTTTTCCCAGCCTTTTTTTTTTTTAAAGTCTTAATCTTAGTTTGAAAGAAGTTGTAAGGAAATCCAGTTAGCTGTAGAATGGATTCCCTCTGAGGTGACCTTGGAGTTAAAGAACAAGCTGTAGAGGACAGCTCTGCGTAGTTTGTTCTTATTTTCCCATCCTTGGAGAATCAGATTTACACAATTTCAGAAAGATTCTCACAGTTCAGGAATGGTTGTAACAAACTCCAAATACAAGAGCATACAAAAGGAGAGGAAAGCATTTTTACTGATTTCCCAGGTGCATGTGAGAAATGTTTGTCTTGCTGAAAATAATCTATGCCTTTCTGTTGCTCTAGGCTGCCCTTTTCTTGGGCCTGGGGGTCTTGTTTTCCCTGGTCAGCATTCCCTTGGTCATCTACGACTGGGCCTGCTCATCTGATGGAGGCCACTGAGACCAGCTAAGAAAAAGAAACAGTCCAGCCTGCTGCTCAGTCAAGTCACCACACATCAGCAACCCTCATCACTTCTTTTGCAAGTTTACAGAAGCAAACAAATTTACAAGATACTTAAAATGGAATAACACTTGAGTAGCAAAACAGAGACCTGTTTCTATAATGGTTGATGTCCCTCCAAGATTTGGGATCAATTATGGAGCATGGATTTTTTTTTTTTTTCAGATTTCACGCAATAGGATTTCTCAGTACTTTCCACAGTCAGTTACTTTTCACTCTCCTGACTCTATTTTTCGTGACTTCATGATTTCTTAGAACTTTGAAAACAAGATCATCAATCATGTTTATTTATTATACATCCAGATTCTGAAATCATTTTCCTACTGATGTTTTGCTCACACTCTCTGTACCTTTTTAGAAGAGAAACGAATCTTGACTTGTATATATTTATTTTGCTTTACAGAAGAAAAAATGATTTCGTAAATAATTTGCCTATTTTGGTTAACATAGCACATGGGGATAATCATATGAGGGTCACAGGGCTCATGCCATTGCTGGATCAGAGCATGCCCAATATTTGAGGTGGCTCTGATCACCTGGCCAGCAGTCCCGTGGCCTCACTGGCTCTATGCTCTGCTCCATGCAGAGAAGAGGGTGGAAATGATTCTTACTTTGGTGAATATATTAAACTGCACATTTCGGTAATCTAGCAAATGAAGTTTTGTTTTCCTCTTGGCAAATTGTGTCAAAGTTACTCTTAGCTGAGTCAATTTCTACTGGGGGAGACCCATGACACCTTTCTAATAAATTAAGGAGCAAGAATACTGCAAAAAGATTGTGCAAATTGCCTAAGAAAATATTCTTCCGATGTAGGTAGCCATCAACCTTCCATCTACACTGTATTGTTGAAGGGGAAAAACGTTTCCTTGAATTAACAAATTCAGCAGCTTTTACTCATCTCCACCAGCTTTTTGCACAGAGAATAATGTGTATCTAACCAAGGATGATCTAGGATAGGTAATTCCTGTTTTATATTGGGTACTTTAGGGGGGTCTTTAAAAGACTTGTTTTCTACCTATAAATTTAGGTTATTACAAATACAAGATTTTTGTATCTTACAGAAGCCTCATTCCTATTTTGTCTCCATTAACAATCCATTCCAGAGTCTTGAAAAAAAGAAAGAGAAAGAGAACCCTCAGAGATAGTCTTTGAGAAGAACTTGTGACAAAGTCACTGAGTACCTTCCTTCCCCCAGATGAGGACCTTGTGCCTGCGCTGTTTCCTCTTCTTGCCCCAGCCGAGGGCGGGCCATGTCTGCCCGCCCAGGGTAGCCCACACAGGAGGGCGGAATTGCCTCACACTCTTACCCCAGCCCCTCTCCTAAAGGGGTAGAAAAGAAGCTACACAGAGACTGAGAAGGAAGGGGGTTTGGGACAAGGCAGCTTGGAAAGCTGTGGGGACAGAAGCCCAGAACTGTATGACCCCTAAACTGGGCTATCAGCTTTGATTTGATTGTCCATATCACACAGTAAGAAAGGTGTGCGCTCTGTGTGTGCTGGTCTCTTGAAACAGGCCTTGTGTTTTACCTATACTGTGGCTGAATTTCTCAAACACATAAGTTCGCTGAGCACAGACTTATTGTCCTAAGATAAGTAGAGCCTAACTGTAGACTCTTGGCAGAGTTTCCAGGGACTGAGCTCTGAGTTCTGTCCTCCCCTACTGGAATCTTCAGAGACCTCCATGCTCACCCGGAGAACATGGAATTGTCCCATCCTCTGTACAGAATAATGTCCCACAGAAAAGGCATCGGAGCACCTTTTGGGGTGATCCTTTTGGGAGGGAAGGCAAGGTTATCTTCTGCACTTCTTAGTAGGGTCATCAAACCTTTAATGTAATGTTCCAGAATTATATCCACATTAGGTCAGAGTTCAGGTATTTAGATATGAATACCTACCTATATATGAGTACCTAACCCAGTAAAATACACTGCCCTTTTCAGCAGTATCTTCCATATTAGATGAACAGGGAGAGAAACTGAGCAAAACAAGTCAAATCCTTGTCTAAAGCACCAAGTAATGAAATAGCCAGATAGTGGGATGACCCTCCATTTAAAAAAAGTACATAATTTAGTTTGCAAGCTATATTATGATACTTTCTCTCTTCTCATTAATTTTACACTCACAAAGTCAAGTTAGAAAATTATCATTAGCTCTTGGGGGAGAAGGATGGATAGTGATATTTCTGGATCTCTGGATTTTGTGTGTCAGTACAAGGAATTATTATTTAAAATATATTTATTTAGAGGAGGCACATTGTTGTTGATGTCTATGATACCACAGGTTTTTAAAATCTTCTTTGTATGTTTATCTAAGTTGATTGTTGACTGAATATAATATACCATATGGTAATTTGTCAAATATCATTGATTAATTATATCATTTGTGTGGGGTTAGTTGTAAAGTATACTGCTCTTAATCTTCTTGTTCAGAATAGTGAACTGGTAGCCAAAAATATATGTATCACAGATGTTAGGTAGAATTTGAACAACGCAGTCAAGTGCTATAGAAGTTTTTCTGCTAAATTAGTAGACTAATGAATATTATACCTTAGCCATTGGGAACAGCACGTTTTCCTTTGGTAGATAGATCCCAGCACTAGTGAACAGTGCCAGTTTCATACTTTGGATTTAGAACTGTTCTCTACGTATTGTAATACAGAATACTGTAAATCCCTAATTTCCTTAATGTTACTTATTGGAAGTGGGGGTAGTAAAGCGTGTACAGGAAATAAATTTAGTCTTGTTAAGCAGAGGCAGTCCCAAGTTATAAGCTGATCATACTGCAAAACTCTGTCAGTTGGTTGTGTGCAACCTGGAATGTATTTTCCTTTATAATGGTGGTTAGGCCCCCAGACCAGATAGAAAAGATTATCAAACCCATCGTTTAGGTGAAATAGGGTACTATAACAAGATTGCTAAAGAGCCTAACCACTAAATATAATAGTATTTCCAGGGGGTATTTGTTCAGAGTTGCCAAGAATATGCCACTCCTTTTAGTGGAATCTTGATTGCCCACCTCACCACACACCACCTGCTGGACGCTGGGAGTAGGGTCGTCATCAGTTGGAAGTGACTACAAGTGGCCTAAAGCAGGGTCTTCAGCAAAGGAGGGGAAGGAAAAGTCTGGGGCTAGGAGAGAATCTGGGGATAGGAGGAGCGTGAAGGAGGATGAGGGGGACTCTTGTGGATTGAAAACCGCCAGGGACATTCCTCAGCTGATACCCTTCCTTTTTTTGGAGGTCTCAGACTTGGCCTGTCTGCTTCTATTTTTAGGATCTTTTGCTCCTATAGTTCATTTCCTTCCCTGCCCAGCACGTGCGCGCGCACACGCACACACACACACACACACACACACACACACACACACACACAAAAGATATTGCTGCATCGTTTCTCGCATATGCCAGTCATTGGAGCCAGCACACAGCACCTTTAATGGGTTTAGTGCTAGTAAACCATGGTTTAACTGCCCAGTAATCAGATGGGGGTAAAAGCTCTCTACTCACTTTCCTTTCTTCACAGTTTCATACCCTGGGAGAAAGGCGCACATGGGTGATGGATGTGGGGTTTGGGGAGGACAAAGGACTGTGGTAAGATTGTGCAGTACTTCAGAGGACACCTTAGTTAGCCAGGAACTGACTTTTTTCTGGAGCTGGACTCAAGCCTCAAAGTCTGGGGTTCTCAAAGTGGTCCTTAGACCAGCCAGCAGCATCACTACCACCTGAGAACTTGTTGGAATGCAAAGGCTCAGGTCCCACCTCAGACCTAGTGACATCAGAAGCTGGGAGATAGAGGAGCAAACGATGTTTTAACAAGCCCTCAGGTGATCCTGACACTCATCAAGCTTGAGAATCACTCAGAGCCAGTTAGTCTCTCCTTTCCCCCCCCCCCCCCCCATTAGTCTCAGAGGATCCTTCACAGGACTCACGGGACAAGGAGTGGGAACAGGACTTAGGAATGTGAGGAAAGGGCCTCAGCACCAGGGTCTCCCCCCTCCCACTGGAAAGGCTGGTGCAGAGGCCGCCTGCACTTGGTGTAACTTTGGGCTGAGGCACGATAAAATCACATATTTTTAGAGCTGTGAAAAAAGGAAAGTGAGGTGTTATTCTTTGGTTTGGCAGTGGGGGGCCAGGAGAAATTTAAAGAATATACCTTTTGTAAATGTAACCTTAGAAGAAAGACTGAATTCGTGTCAGGAGTAAGTTCTCCAGGAGGATTGGGTTCATCCTGTTGTGATCAGCCCTGTCCTCCTTTTAAAATGAATCCTCTACTGAAAGGTCTGCACTGCATTAGAAGCTCCAAACTGCTCGGAAAAAGAGTGCAGAGATCAGCTCCATTTCAGTCTATCAGGATGCTGGACAGCACATTTAAGTGGGGTGGGGAGCTGCACACTTAGTTGGGGTGAGGGAGAGGTCAGTGATATGATCAGATATTTGATTTTATGCTTTAGAGCAAAAGCCATTTGTTTCCCTCAGTTTATCAATATAAATAGCTTCAGGTTTAGAAAGGGCGTAAGCCTTAAGAATATAATTCCTCCATTCCAGTTCACGTAAATTCCTATCCACTTTCAAAACAAAGAAGATACAGACTACAGCATTGAGTGATACTAATGATTTCCTTAGGGATGGCAGATCTGAGAATCCTTTAGCAATAGAACATACTTCCTCTAAAATGCAGTGAATTGCTTATAATGATGTAACGCTTTCAGGTACAAATTAGGAGAGGGGTGACTAACAACTGAAAAATATCACTAAACTTAGAAGGGAAAGTTCTTGAAAAATAGGTAGACATCACAAGGCTTAGACATTCTCTTTCTAATTTAGGGTTTTCTCAGAGGGAGGGCTGTCAAACTGGGCCCATCGGTATACAAGCTTGAAGTTGGGTTTCTAAAAGGAAGAATCTATGCAGCTGAGGCTCACTGTAGGGAATACTTCACTTGTATGTAAATATACTGTACATAACAGGAGACTGTATATTTTTGCAGTTGTTGATCCACACTGAACTAGAAGTCTCTAGCATCTGCATATCAAGAATAAATGTTTTCATAGATGTTAGTGGTTTTGTTTGGGAATTAGAAAAATTTACATTCTTTCCCAGGTAACATAGTTCTTTGAATGTAAAAACCTAAAAATCTAACTTAATTGTTTAGAAAGAGAAATATCTGAGAAATAGTTGCATTGATTTCTTATACTGACATTATGATCAATTATTTAAAAGACAGTCATCTGAGCTACAAATGAGGAATATTTAGACCCAAATTATTGTCATATAGAAATAGGTATACCCCAAATGACCAACTGTTTCTTCTTAACACTCTCTCATTGTTAACGCTGATACCACTACACAGTATTAATGAAAACAGATGTTGGGGAGGAGAATGCTTTTTTTCAAAATTGAATTGCCACATTTCCCAAACTTTGGGATTTTGGAAAGGGGGGAAAAAATCAGAACATTAAGTATGAGCACACATTTGAAGGGGGGGAGGGGAAGCTTTATTTTATCAAGCTTTGGAAATCTTTGCATGTTTGCCTTCTATTTTCAGTGTTGACGCCAACATAAACTGTCTTTAAGTCATTTTTCTCAGAACACTTGAATCTTGATCATTGGTATGTAATCCACACTCTGGAGTCAGTGTATTTTAGACTTCATCTAAGTGCAGTACGTGCAGCACCCCACTGTTTTATTAATGTAAAAACCTTGCAAATGAATTTCAGATGAGTGATTTAAGTGAGTTGCAAGTCACGAAACTTTGCTATTCATACTTAATCAAATAGTTTCCCACCACCCCCACCCCCAGGATGTGATGTAAATAAAGAAATATTAAGAAGTTCTGTTCTATAACTGCTCTGTTAACATAGTTTTTAAACATTAAAAATGTGAACTAAAAGCATTTATGAATTTTGTGTTCATTCTTTGGGGATGCAGCATTAAAAAGGGGGGATTTCAGTACTATGCACACTATTAACGGGGAATTTCAGTACTATACATGCTATTAAGATTGACATGCATTTGTCAGTGTTCTAGAACACTAAGTTCATGGAAGCTTATATTTAAGCGACCAAACCTTAACATATACTTCTGATAGAAACCTATCTGGTCTGAACATATTACATACCTCTTTCTCCATTCTTCATAATCGGAGTAGGTTGAACATAGCAGTTTCTTTTTAACTCAGGTTCATCTTTATAAATATCACTTTTGTGCTATGTTGTAGGAGGGACTCTCGTCTTCCTCTACCTGCATTGCAGCAACCCATAAAATAGGAAATTCTATTAGCACTTCCATTTCTGCAGGAACTACTGAGGGGAACGCTCCTGCGGCCCGGCCTTTCCTTGTCCATCACTGGCTCCTCCTCAGGGTCTCAGGAAAGTTTCATCAGACCAGCAAGATGGCCACAGTCTGATATCTAAATTCCTCTTGTGGACAGTGTTAGAGCAGGAACAACAGGGCTTTGATGGTGTGACTGCATGTGAGGCCCATCTTGACTCTCCCTGGCTGCCCAAGGTGGCAGCCCATGCAGGAGGGCCACATCTGGATCTCAAGGGGGGAAATTTGAGGCACAGGAGCTCAAGCTGTATACTCCAATCTAGCTTCATTAGCAAGAAACTAGCAGGCAACCCTGTCAGGACCCCCCTCTCATTTTGAGAGCTGTAACTTTCTGCCCTGATAAGCTGACCTCTGTTACAAACTTTAAAAAAAAAAGAAAGAAAAAAAGAAAGAAAGATGACACTTTAACCTTTATGCACTTCCTGTTTGTGTTTCTTAATTGATCAAAACCGCAGGGGCAACGGATGTAATTATCACTTTCAAACCCAAGCAGTTGTCAAAGTATATCTAAAAGTCTATTGCCGATTTTGCTCTAAGCCAAAAGTTCTGGTCCTGCTGTATTATTTTTTGTTTTGTTTTTTTTTAATAAAAGATCTTCTTGGGGAATTGGGGGAGGGGAACAGCGTTGGGGTATCAGGGAAGGGGAACAGACAAGTTGCTGTTGTTTTGTTCTTCAGTCTAGTTGTAGAGGACGTCACGTCACTGGTCTATATTGGTATTATCATTGCGCTCTTCCCAGGTGAGGTAGATCCATCACCCGGCACTGGACGGCCACTCATGCCAGCTGCCAGCCACTCATGGTAGCTTATGGGAACCCACTGCAGCTTCACTGCAGCCTACACCATCGCTGGCGACTCATGGCAGCCCAGCTCCAGGTCGAGCTGTTGTTCACCATCTTAGCTGTAGAGGGCGCAGCATCACTGGCCCTCATGTGGGATCCGAACTGGGCCCCTGCTGCTCAGAGCTGGCATCCCAAGCCAACTCTTAACCAACATGGCACTCGGCCGGCCCCCTGCTGTGCTTTTGCTGATTCTGATTCTTTCCCTATGGCTGCATGAGTGTCTGCTAATACTGTCCTACTCTGCCCTGTTTTACACATAACTGTCTGGGTAAAGGTTTTTCTCCTTCTCCCCTATGGAGTGAACTTTGCAACTCAGAGGACCTGTTTGCTTACCTTCTAGATTTATAATTGTGTTCTGCCTGGTTAGGCTGTCTGGAACGGGTTCATGAGGCCTAAATAACTGGGTTATGTGTTTTGTATACCAACATTGTATCTTTCATTAGCATAAATTTTAGACTCATCCAAATTGGCAGGACAATCTACTGAAGAGTATGGCCAGTGCAACATCAAAATAACATGTCCAATTACCAAAATGTATTATTAAAGCTGTAGCACTTAAAACAGATGTATACTGATGTGGAAATAAATAAATATATCATAATAGAGAACACATAAATGGTCCAAATAACACTAGAAAAGTGACCTTTCAAATCAATGGGGAAAATCAGGGTTGCTCAATAATTGGTAAAAAATAAAAATAAAATGACTAGCTTTTTGTAAAAACTGAAGGTGGAACTTTATAATGTCCCTCGTACCTAAATAGAGCTCAAGTATATTAGAGACTAAACATAACACATGGGTAAATATATTTTCTACAAATATAAAACTATGACTTTCACATAAAGCAGTTCATGTGTCAAAAAATTTATTTAGCTCATTATTAATGAAGGAACAAGTAAGATGTTTCAAAATGGTTCAAAGAAGAATTCAAAAAACAGGCACATACATAAGCAATCAGGGATTGCTAATAGATGCATTCCCTCCCCACCCCCGCACCCCTGCCTTCTCCACAGAGGGTAATCAGTTGCATCTCACCAGACGGAATCCATTTGTTTCTCTGGGCAATAATCATTTCTAACTATCAGTTTTCTACAATTGACAGGGTTATAAAATAGCTAAAAGAAAAGAGGTGGGGGGGGTGCAAAATTTGTATAGATAACTCAGAAGGGACATCTAGCATTGAGTAGAAAGTACACCCAGTAATCTTTTTTGCCTTTCAAAGTGTTTCCCATGTTCCCTCTTTGTGACCATAAAATCGCAAAGATTATTATTGGTCATTAAAAAAAAAATAAGCTGATCTGATCTCATTAGGTTTGGCTTGATTATTTGCATTGGTGCAACAAGTATTAATTAAACATACAGGCTTCCTTGGGTTTACTTTGCAAATCTAGAGCCATGCAGGATTGAACAGTTACTAGAGCCACAGAATTGCACTCCTAAAAGTCTATTATTTGCTAGCTCAAGGCCAGGAAAGCAAGCCCAAGAAACACTATACCTCACCTGTACCATCTATAAATTTGGGTGAATTCCTCTCTACTTGAGTTCCCCCAAATTTGCTAAGGTTTCTGGCCTGCAAGGAATTGCTTTTTCTTACCATCTATAAGGATGGTACTAAGCCAGCTTTCCTGAGATGATTTTGTAATCATTGGTTCCATGAGTAAAATCAACCTTTGTTCCTTACATGACTGATTAAAGAGCATCATTCTCAAATACGACATTCCAAGAAAGGACATGGTTGCATTAATCAATTTCTAAAAATTATGTACTGGTAGAAATAAAAAGATTCTTGTACAACCTATGCAAATAACTATATTGCTATTTTTAAAAGTGATGAAACTCAGAGATTTTTTAATTTGGGGGGTGAAGGGAAAATCAGTGAGAATCAGAAAAAAATGTTTAATTTCACTTTACAAAAGCAGAACCCACTGAATTGCTATAGATTAAAAATAGCTTAAGATAAAAAGAGAAATGACCTCCTATATATCTGGAAAACAGAGCATTGAAACAGTCTCAACACAACCACAGTACAATTTCCCTCGTCAGCTCATTCCAACCTGTGTAATTCTGTTCTGCTGGATCTTGGGCTAACATTCTGCTTTCCCAAACTTGTCTGCTTCTGGACTAAAAGTTTCTGTAAATCCACACTCACTCCACGATACAGCCTGAAAGTTCTCTAAGTAATGTCAGCTCAGAAGCTTGTACCCAAGAGTCTCTTTGAAATGTCAATAGTTTAATGTACTTGGCACAATCCTTTTCCACGAGAGCCTGGGGCTGTCTGTATTTGCTAAAGAACCAGATTTGGGCCTGTAGTTTATAGCATAGCCTCAGGCAAATATCAGAAAGCAGAAACCCATTTAATAATGAGAATGACAGGCTGTGGTTAATTCACTATGGTAATTAATAGTTAGCCTTTCTATCTTAGGAATCTTTTAAGATAACCCTAAAGAACTGTGTAGTATTCCACTGAAAGGTCAGCCAATAATCTTTTTTGTCCATTTCAAAATCTTTCACAATTTTCCCGTCACTCTCTGTATATCTATATCTCATATATATAATATCTTAGCGAGGGGAAGCCCTTTCTTGGTATAAAACACGGGAGTCACAAAAGGAATTAATTGATTAATATTTTAAAACTCTTTATAACTTACAAAAGTGCCAAAGTGCAAAAATCCAAAAATCCAAATGCGAAACAAAACTAACATTTGCCACACACATGTTACAACTGGTATGACCTGACTCTCAAGTTTGAGGTCGAAATCATTCAAAGTATTCCCTTGGTCAAATTACCAAGACACCCAACATCTCTTTCTTGATACTCTCACCTCCAAATTGTCCAAGAACCCTGGAGGCATTTAACGGAAGGTGCCTGCTTCCAAACTCCAGGGAAAAGAGAACTAACTGGCGAATTTAATCAATTCTTTCCCACTACAGTGAAGCTTCTGTTGCTGCCTCACAGTTGAACAATGGCTCTGCACAATTTGTTACATCTTTGTCTACTGCTGCAATCCTATCCACATGGGCTGCTACTCTATGACTGAAATGATGGAGGAAAAATGACCCTAATCCATGCAGTGCTCTGGTGGCTCTTATCTTGGGAGCCCAAGCAAGGAACAGTGCCTCAGTTTGCTACAAGCGAGTTCCCAACCCATGCCCTCCAGGCAGTCTGGCTCAGAAGGGGCTCCTATTATAACTGCCCGTTGTATCAGAGCCAACCTTCTTCCTTTCCCCAGTCCGTGGGTATTTAACTGATATTGATCCCCAGTCTTGACTTCAGATGTCCCTCATGGTTGAGTTCATCTTTGGGTGTCTTAGGACTGTTTCCTGCCCTTTACAGGGATCATCTCAATCTACAAGAGAAGATCTATAAAGCCAGTAAAACTCAAAAGGGAAGGAATTGGGTAGAGGCTTAATGCTGGCTTCCCTGGTGCCTCTGCAAATTTGCCTGACCCTTTCAAAAGTCGTTTCAATACACCAAGAGATGTCTGGCCTTAGACAATCATATTAAACCACAAAAATTTCAATTACATCTTTCCCTTGGGGTGATGCCTACCTGTTTGGCTCCTATTTAGAATTTAAGAAGAGCCACTTGATGGACTTTTCCTTGTTTACAAGTGACTAAATTGTCTTTGCAAAGAAACACCCAGAAGCTTCTTAAAGTTCCGCCTACACAGTCCTTGGCTACATAGCATAGAGCTAGTGTCCTTAATAAATCAAGAGTTTTT